ATTCCAAAAGATTGAAACAGAAGCAAAGCTTCCAAATACATTCTACGAAGCAAACATCATCATGTTCTTGTTTTTTAGCAACGCATAATCCCAGGTGTGCCACACATGAGCCTCATAACCAACTCTACAAGAGATGCAGGATGGATGGTATTTATCCCTGTTTGAGAGATGGCAAAACTCAGGTGCAGAGACTGCAAGTGACCTACCTGAAATTACAGAGTAATGAACAGTGGCACCGGGACAGTGCATACATCTTGGTACTCCACATCCCACGGTTCTCTTTCCTATACCACTACCACTACTCAGTTTTCTTCTGATGCCAGGGAGGCTGTGTTTTATACATCTCTGTTTCTGATTTGGAATGAAACACTCTGTGGTTCACTATCTTGACCCCTCTAAACTGTACCCCACTGCAGTAGGGATTGCATACGATACTTTGTATACTGAATCTCTCCTCCCCCAGAGCTATAATAGGTAGAGATGGCCACATGTAAAAGATGATTTATTTTGGTCACCACTAGCTTCCCCCTTTTCTGCCTTTCATGTGACAGGAACATTCCTTCCCTCTCCCTTTAGTTCATTAATGCCCTTATGTTCTAAAGCTCCTCCCTACCATAAAAATAGAAAAGAAGCTGTGAGTCATTTACACTTTAGCATGAATGTGCTTTCGTGACTTCACCAAGGCTGTTTGTGCCTACTCTTTTTCTCTAACTGCAGAATGAGTCTCTGAACTATCCTGGCTACTTCCCTGAGAAAAATGAGCTGAGAATTGTTGGAGTAGATATCAGGACCACCAGAAACCTATTACCCAGAGATTCTTGGACTGCGCAGTTGGTGTAGATCTGGTGTCTGGAGCAACCTTTTCTGAGCAATGGGACTCTCAGACCAGGCCCTCTCTCTTCCCACCTCTGCTTGAGCCAAGTGGACTCTTACCCTCTACCCTGTGCAACTTGTCAGGGATCAGAGAGCATTCTCCATCCTTCCATGATCACGTTCTTTCATATTCCTGGGCCCCACGACATAGTGATGGAGCTTTCCTCAAGGGCAGCCACAGGCTTATAGTGCCACTTTTTTTCTACCTGCAACTGGCTGGTATTCAGGAAGCCTGGATGTGACTGGTTGCGTGTGTGTGTGTGTGCATGCACTTGCATGAGGGAGTATGTGTGTGTGCATATATATGTGCATGTGTGCAGGGTAGGAAGAGTCTTTGAGGTGGATGGTTGAGGAATGCTTGAGGAAGCCTCAGAGACATTTAGCCCCTTCACTGGAGCAATGTCTTAACTTTGGGTCCCCGCAGAAGCAGACCTAGATACAAGGATTCAAGTGCAAGTGGTTTATTTGAGAGGTGATGCCATGAAACACTGGTGGGAGAGTGGAGGAGTGAGGCAAGGAAAGGAAAGCTGTTGCTGACTACTGGGGACAGACAGCCTGTCAGGGAACCCTGGGAGTCAGTGTGGAGCACAAGCCTCAACACTACTGCCCCTCGCCCTAGGGGGGGTAGGATTTTACAGGATAAGGATTTTATCCACCAACTGCCAGTAGTCATTGGTGAGAGCTGGGTGGGGTCGTTAATTTTCCCTCAATTTCAATGTGCTTCTTTGGGTCATAGAGGCTTTCTTTAGTTTCAAAAAAATCTTTCAGGCAGAGATCCAGGTACTAGAGTTGGGAGTTGCTGGAACACACTGAAGAGGTAAGGTCCGAGGGCCCCAGGCAGAACTCCCACCTGCTTCTGCATGAGGTGTTTTAGCTGGTAGAGGGAGTGCAGAGAGTCTTACCCGCTTGTCACTGTCTTCAGTAAGGGTTCTGTATCTGTGCGTTGAGGATTAAATTATTCGTATCATCAGAGAAGCCAATCACCACTGATGGTTATTGTAGATATGGAGAGCTAACAAATGAGAAGGGAGAGAAAAATACTAAGCAGTTGATTTGGCTGAATGCAAGTACAGTCATTGGTGTGAACTGCTCATTATTAATGTCTGATTACAATGCTGCATAATAATGATTATGCATGTCATTAAGTATGTGTCAGGTTAACTTTGTCATAAAATTTATGACAACATTAAATTTTATTCACATGCTCAGGCTTCATAACTTATTGCTTATGGAGCATGTTTATGACTTTAGAAAAATCTCCAAGACAGTGTTGGTTGGATGACTACATTGCTTAACCATGAGTCTAGTCTCCATTTATTTGAAATGTTCACATTACATGGGAATAGTTACCAACTCTGCCTCAAGTGCTACCAATGGCAAAAAAATTTCACCTGTCAAACTCTGTGGCTGCCAGGATTACTCCTCTGTGTGTGTGCATTCTCTTGCCATATATGATTCATTCAACCAACTTTTATGTGACCCTGACCACATCACGTGCATTGTGCCAGGTGGTGTGAATTTAGATATGGATGAGAGGCTGCTTCTGTCCTCAAAGAGCTCCTGGTCTAGTAGAGAATCACACCACTTTAGAGATGATTGTTCAAGAAGGAAGCAAAAATGAATAAAGGAGTATACATCTTTTCTCTTCCTAGGTATGGAATAACAAAGCTGTTCCTGTATTTGGTTTCCAGAAAATATCTCTAAAGCTACCAGTTTTGTACTTTCAGAAACGAGTAGCATTGTAGGTTAGTACTTATTGTATGGCCTTAGCCTTTTGTGCTGAGAATTTGATATATGAAAGTCATTCACTGGTAAACTGTAAGTGTTTCCTTTAGCCAAGTGCTCAATGATGATGCCTTTTTTAGAATCCAAATCTAAAGATGTCATTAGACCCCAGGTCCACACACATCTTAACAAAACACCAACTAGAAGAACTTTACTACTTACAACTAAGGCAAGTGCTATCAAGAATGAGGCTTAGTAGCACAGGAATCAGGGCCAAATATGTTTGTGAGGTTTATAAGTTTATAGAAAGGGTGTTTTGGGATGCCATGGCTTGCCATTGTCAGCTCTCAGAACTAAGCTTGGCAGGAGAAATCAGGGTCAGGAGTGGACTAGAGAAGTTCAACAGCAGACGGACCAGGAAGAAGCCTAGTTTCGGTCCTGGGGTCCAGTGACATCCCTAAGGTTCTGTTGTGGGTCTGGCAGTGGACTAGATAAATGGATCCAGGTCACGTTGTCACCCCAAGGTGGAGAGGTTAGTATGGAGAGAATTTAAAAAGTTTACTCTTAACCCTTCTAAGAATTATATGTTCCTAACTGCCAACCGATGAACGTCCCAGATGACCATGCAATTTAAGGCTGTGGTATACCCAGAGCAAATAAAATAGCCCCATGAATAGTAGGGAAATCAAATGATAGCAAGCAGGTTTGAAACAATCCCATCCTCTCCTGAATGGGGCAGTGATTAGAGGCAAGATCCCAGCTTAGAAAAATGCATGTATGAGGGTACTTCAAAAAGTTTGTGGAAAAATATTAAAGAATTCAAAGATAATATGAATCTTCCCATGAACTTTTTGAAGTACCCTTGTATTAGTGTATCCCTGAGATTAGAAAGAATCTGGGCATGCTCAAGACCAGTGCCATTTTTCTCCTTTCACCCAAAACCTGTATTACTTGCTAAATTCCTATATTAGTTAGAAATATTATCCCCAACCCACTCCTTCAAGCTGAAACTTCAAGCTCGTCTTGGAATTCTCCTCGACTCTACACACCCAGCAGAGCAGGTTTCTCAAGTCTCTGCCTTTCTTTTCAGTCCCGTGGCCTCTGCTGTGGTCACAGCCCTCTGTGAGAGGGTTTCTTGCTTCCATTCTTGCCCCTCTTCGGTTGTCTTCCAAGCTCATGTCAGTGGTATCTGCTGCTTGCCTAGAGAGTGAAGTTTAGGCAGTTTGCAGTTGGGCCTTGGCTTGCTTTCCCAGCCTCATCTCCAGTGACCCCCTTCTCTGCTCTTTCCAGTCCTTCTCAGCTCACCTTCATTCTCCAGACATGCCAGGCAAAGTCACACCACCATTCCTTATCTGTGCTCTTCCCCCACCTACCCCCAGCTTACTGCTTCTCTGAAACTTTTCAAAACCTCCCTGACAGAATTCACCACTTCTGTATCTGTATTCCAAAAACCAAGTTTTTATTATAATGTTTGTCATATTGAGTATAGTTATTAAACTTGCCAGTCTTAATTAGCTCTGTAACATCTAGCATAATAACTATAACAGAGTAGATGCTCAAACATGGATTTATTTTTAACTTAAAGTGAGTTTGAATACTTTAGGATGTAAGAATCCTTGGGTCAAGAAGATTTGGCCTGGTTTTTATATCAGGCAGTTTCTTAGTTTCAAGCTATATAAAAACTCTGGCTCATTCAAGCAGGAAGGGGAAGAATTCAAAGCCTTTGAATTGCTTACAGGCTCTGGGAGGTCCATAGAGACCGATGTTGGTGGCCCCAGAGGAAGGAGCAAAATAAAGTATCTCTGCAGAGAACCAATTCTGCCACTGCTGCTGGGTGCAGACTCTGCCAGCTGCACTACCCACACTCCAAGCCTGATGCTAGACTCGGCTGCTCCCTCCGGAAACTGATGTGGCTCCCAGTGCCACTGCTGTCCAAGCCAAGATAGATTCTCTGCAGTCCCTGCTTGCCCCATGTCATGCTAAGAGTCAAACACCTTCTGATTGGTTGAGCCTGGATCACATGCCTGAGCAATAGCTGCAAGGAGGCTGGGAAGGTGAGCACCTGGCTTCTACGGAGTTGTTGGTCTTTGCTTCCCATCAAGATTCATGAGATGGGGGAATCCCCCAGACAAGAGAGTTGGTTCAGATGCTGGGTGGTGCTGGGAGATGGGGGGCTGGGAGAAGGGGGGATGATGGAAGGTGCAAAAAGAATGATAAATGTCCACTAGAACTTTCTTTCAGGATACCAAAACCATAATTAACAGCTTTCTTTGATGGTATGTCTGAGACTTAGCAGAAAAAATAAATGGCATTCTCAAACTGAGTGGTTTGAGGAGAACTGAATAAAGGGAATATTTACAATGGATGGGCAGGGTGTAGGTAAACCACAAAATACAGTGCAGAACTCTGGGGCTGATAACAGTAGGAAATTCTTACCACCCAGGCCTGAAGAGGCAAGGAGATGGAGCAGTTACCATACCGGGACGAAAGGACAGGACTGAGTGCATGCAGAGGGCCCTGACAGGAGCTGAGACCATGTTGAAGAGACACAGCCAGCCCTGGGCAACCCCTCAGAGAGAGAACAAGAGGAGTAAATGCCCCCTTTTCATCCTTTCCCATGATACTCTGCTGAGGCTCCCCAGGGCCCCAACTGGAAGGCAGACTGCTGGGGAGCCCATGCAGGCTGCTCGTACTTGTCAAGACCACAGCACAGAGCGGGTTGAAGAAGGGAGGAGAGTGAATCTGGAGGAACAGATAGAAGATGTGCTGCTCATGAGGCTTCATCAATATGTCACCAACATTTTTTTTTCTGTTGTATTCAATATCTCCTTTGGGGATGTCACTTTATATTTTCGGTAACCCAGCCCACAAGATCAATGATCTTAAAGTGTCCTTCTCTTATTGAATTTAACGAGATGCTATTTTCCCCTTGTTTGCTATTTACAATGCTCTACTGTATGGTTCAACAATTTACACCATTAAAGGTTAGCAAATGCCAACCAGTCCGTTTGCTTCCTTCCCAGGAAAAAAGGGTGGGACATGTGACCTGTACACACACAATGTCAAGAATCTCCCTTTCCAGCTCTTCGTGCAGAAATCCTCTCTGAGTATTGTCTCAGCATGTGAGATTTCCTTCTGCTTATCTCTGCCTCCTCCTTATTAATATCAAGCCTTCTAAATACAGCAAGTATAAGAATGTCCAGTAAATGACCTCCATGCACTTACGAGCACTTCTAGCCCCCACCCCACCCCGCAGGCATTCAGGCAATGTGTGTGACCCTAATCCTCTCAAGGTATATGGTACCTTGTACTAAGACAACCAGTTATTTACTTTGGAAAATAATACTGAAGGGAGAGCCTCATATTGTCTTTGAGTATGTGATGGGTTCCTTTGCAGATTATGGAAACCAATTGTTTATCTGAAAACCTCAACTAGGGGAATTGAGGTATACTATGAGGTGTTTAGGTAAAAGAAGAATATTCCATTTTCCTTTAAAAAAATACATTAATAGAATTTTTATTTTAAAAGTGCAAATTGATGTACACAGAACAAAGAGCAAAAGTCACCCTTTATGTGTGCACACTTCCTTCCCTCCCTCGTCTCCCCCTCCCTAGCACTAACAGTATGGCAGAAATAGAAAGAGCTTTCTAACCCCGTGATTACAAGCAGTGTCCTCAGCGGTGCTGGAGGATGGGGTTTGGGGGCCCTATGTACTCTGCTGCTCCTTTAAGGTCCAGGCAGCCCTTGGGCCCCCAAGCCTGAGACAGAGAGCACATGTTTCATCTTACTTTGTGAGAACAAAACCAGCTGCAAGCCTGGGCTGTGTCATGGGGCAACCACTTACAAGGGGTTCCTGAGCTACCTCTAGCCATTGATTTATTTTAAGTGCTAATTGTACATTTCTGATTTGCCACCCTTCTACAAAATAGGAATTTGCTTCATTATTTTTTTTAAATATGGATGAAGGAATCTACTGATAATGAATATTTAAAATTCCTAGGTATGATTTTTGGCATTTGTAGACATCAGTTGCTTGCCAAGAGCAGACTGTGTACACTTTTGTTAGAAGAAGGCGTCCATGAAATAAGTATGGTTGATATTTAATGTGAGCCTAATAAATATTTGTTTCCAGTATTAAACGAAACATATCAAGCATTCTGTATGGATTTTAGGGATGTGTTACAAGGGTTTTGAAACCTGCTCATCTACTTTGTACTGCAGAAGGAACTCCCCGACCTAGCCCACCCTGGCCCTTTCCCTTCTCTTGACTCCTAGATCACATGATGGCAGCATCTCTCAAAATTGCGCATATTCATCTGATCCCAAACACCGTAAATGAGCTGGCTCTTTTGTACCAAGCTCATCTTACCAGATGGTAAGTCCTAGAAGGCAAGGAAGTTGTTCCAGGGTGACAGAAATAGCCATTCAACAGAGTTCCTTGACCATTCTCTTCCATAGCTTTCCTAAATCTTGGTCTTCATCACAACTATGACAAAATAGCAACACTAGATGAACAAAATGCCCACCCTTAGCAGCTGTCTCCTTCATTGCCCATAGTCTATTCACCACCAAAACCTATAGACTTTACCTCTTAAAAAAAACTTCTGGAATCCATCTGCTGTTTTATGTCTTTATTACATCTTTATCCAACCACCATCATCCCTCACCTAGATTACTGTGGTAGTGGAGGTTGGTTTTCTCTCATCCATTCTGAAGCCCTTTCATCAGTTCTTCACACAGCAGAGTTATATTTTTAAAATTCTAAACTGGTCGTATCATTTCCTACTGAAAATTCTTCAATAGTTTCCCATTTACCATTCAAGAAGGACAACACTCAATGTAGTCTAGGTCTTGCACGGGCTGACCCCACCTGCCTCTCCAGCCTCATCTTATTTATGCCCCCCTTTCTCTCTGACCTTCAGTCCTACTGGCCTTTGTTCACTTCTTCAGTGCTCTGCCCTGCTCCTGGGCCTTTGCACGTGCTGAGCCTTTGCCTGGAAGGCTCCTCTAATCCTTTTCACTTAGTACAGTCTCCTATTCATCATTCTCAGTTAAATCAACACCTTGTGAGTAAAGCTTTCCTTAAGGCCCCCTGTATGTGGATTACTTTGCCATGTATCTCTCCTTCTTAGGACTTCCACAGTTGGTAATTAAATGACTATTTGTGTGAGCTTAATGTCTGTCTTCCCTACTCAACTGTAGGATTCGTGAGGGCACATGACAAAATTCGCTGTATTCAGATTCATTTTTTATGCGTCATTATACCCCCAGTACCATGTCTGGCATACAGTAAGTTCTTTATAAATATTTATTCTTAAATGTAGGAAGAAGGGAAAGAAGGAAGGAAACAGAGAGTAGGAACAGAGTAAGGAAGGAGAGAAGGAAGTTGAAAGATTGTTAAAAAGCCAGCTCAGGCTGCTTGCTTCTAAAATTTTCAGGTGCTTCCACATTTGCTAATTAAAATTGCTTCTTTGTTGTTGCTTTTTTGCTGTGGAATTGGCTAAAATCTTTTAATATTTTTCTTTGGGCTACGTGTTGTGTATATAAAAGTAAATTTTTGTCATGTGGAACCTCTTACTCAGCCTGCCTCAACTACCCAGCTGCCTGCTGGATACAGGTGTAATTCGAAACCAACATGTGCAATACTTATTTCATTGTAACCCCCTGCCCACCCCCAAAATCCTGATCCTCTTCCTGAATGCACTACTCTAGCTAATCACTGTACATCCCAACAAGAGCTTAATTCCTTGCTCACTGACTGCACATTCAGTCAACCACAAACTCTCACTGATTTGTCCTCCTAGAAATACCTTGCCCACCTCTGCATTCCCATTGTCATCTTCCTAATGCAGTCACTTGCTTTCTCTCACCTGGGGGATTTCAATAACCTCTTAATTGGCCTCTCAGTTTGAAATTCAGGTACCTCCAACCCACTCTCCTCTGCATTGCCCCCAGAGTTCTTTCTTGAACATGCAAAACTGATTATGTCACTTCCTGTGGAAAACTCCTCAATGACTGGCAAAACAGAATGTGGCATTCAAGGTCTGTTGTTCCTCAGTCCTTGTCTTGCTCTCCAGGCTTATGTCCCATTGCCTCTGGAACTCCAGGCACACTGAGCTGCTTGACATGCCCATACCATTCGCAGGGCACTGATAGACACCATAGTGCTTATGCACATACTGTGCCTGTGGCCTGGAATGTCCCCAACCCATCTGGTCTGGCACACTTCTCCTCACCCTTCAAGCACAAATATAGTCGCTGTCTTTACACTGGTTTTGTTCCTTGTGATAAGAATGGGACTGGGAGTCTGGTTAGAGGCCACTGACAAGGTCCAGCTGAGAAGTGGTGGTTGAGTATAGTGCGATAACTGGGGGGACGGAGTGAAAAAGGTCTAGCATATACTGTAAATGTAGAGTTTTCAGGACCTGCTGATGGACTGGATGTGAAGGGGGGGGAGGAGTCCAGGAGTCTACAGCCTCTAATCAGAGGAGGCAGCTACAGCAGCAGGAACAGAATGTCCATTACCCAGCTTCAACCAGTATCAACTCCTCGCTCAATCTCATTCCCTTATACCTTTACCTACTTCCTTACCCTGCCCACTCTCACACACTATGGATTATTTTAAAGCAAATCCCAGACATTTTATAATTTCATCTGTTAATATTCCAGCCCGTATCCCTAAAATAAAAGGACTCTAAAAAACATAACCATAATATCATTATCACTCAAAAAACATTAATGAAGAAAGAATGCAAACAAAAAAAATTAATAATATGACTTCATATCATCAGTTACACATTTAGTGTTTACTGGTTCTCTTTCTAGTTCTTTCTTCTCCCCACCCCCATTGTATTTGTTGTTGTTTGTTTGTTTGAATTGGGATCTAAATTGGCCTGTATATTGATTCATTTCTATGTTTAAGTTTCTTTACCCCACCATATCTCTCTCTCTCTCTCTCTCTCTCTCTCTCTCTCTCTCTCTCTCTCTCTCTCTCTGCCCCCACCCTCTCTTTTCAGTTTGGTTGTTCTCATTAGTACTGTTGTTGTTGTTAAGATACATAGATGTTTGCTTGACAGATTGTATCAGAATTTCCCTGATTGCCTCAGAATTTCCCTGATTGCATTCCTCTGTCTCCTGTGTTTCCCATGAATTGGCTTTATCAGACCCAGACCCAGGGATTTTGTTGTGGTTGCCTTTGGGAGGGCGTAGCTAGACTGTTCCCTAGATGGTGTTTAATACCTCCATCCAGAAGTTCATAATGTCTTATAATCTACATTTTTGTGATGTTAGCAGCCATTGATTATTATCTATATTCATTCATTTATTAGGAGATGCAAAAATGGTAATACTCTTATTCTACCATTTTTTTTCTTCATTTACTAACTGAAGTGTTCTGTAAAAAGAAAATTCCCCTCTTCACCCATTTGGCTACCTTGGGGTAGAGTTCATGTATAGGAAAGGTAGGATATGTAATTTATTTCTCCCTTTACATACCAGTTTTCAAAATAGGAAGTTGTTTCTTCAAAGGTGATGAATGAACATTTGTTTGTTGTTTTTACTTTATTGTTAATATTATTAAGAGTTTATGTGTTAAATATGTTTTATTTTATTATTATTATTATTTTATTTATTAAGAATATTCATGAGATACAAAGCTAATTATCACCCCTCGTGCCCATGATGTGAAGGCCAGATTTGTACTGGGGGCATACCCATTACCAGAAATTACTTTTGTACCCCATGTCCCCACGCAATTATCCCCCAACCTCCGTCCCCCTCCCTTTCTCCCCCCCACTCCACTTTGTAGCCCTAGGAATGTTCCCTCCCTCTGTAAGACCACCGCACTACTGTGGTCTTTCTTTCCTTCCTTCCTTCCTTTCTCTCTT